CTGCCATCCCCACAACAAACCTGTCTCCTCTCCTAACTCATACACTTTTTTAAACCTTTGTTGAAGTATAACATGCTCTTGTAAAAGTGCTCAGATTAGGAATTTAACCAAGATCTATATAAAAACATTGAGTTTTACCACCTTTCTAGGGACTGCCTTCCCAGTGTCTGTCTGTTTTGGAACTTTGCAATAATATGTGATCTTATAGTATATACTCTTGTCCTCATATATTTTAAAAAAATAAATAAAAAGGAATGGGGATGTGCCTTTCTATGATAGTGGATTGAAACAGTTAATTTAGTCTCTTAATTGGGTGGTGTAAAATTCTATACTCCTTTATTGAAAGTTCTATTTCCTAGCCAGGTACAGTGGTGCATGCCTGTAATCCAGCAGCTCGAGAGGCTGAGGCAGAGGAGGATCACGAGTTCAAAGCCAGTCTCAGCAAAAATGAAGCACTAAGCAACTCAGTGAGACCCTGTCTTTAAATAAGATACAAAATAGTGCTGGGGATGTGAGTCTGTGGTTGAGTGCCCCTTAGTTCAACCTCCGATACCCCACCCCCACTACCACCACCAAAAAAAAAAAAAAAAAAGTTTTATTTCCTAAATATTACCTATGGTTTTAAAATAATTGAATATTAATTATTAATATTAAATATTAATTTGTTGATCACCTTTATATGCATGTATATTCTGGGCTAAGAAAAAAGATGAAATCATATTTACAGATTTTTAACATTATGCTTTTTTTTTTAACTGAGGACCTAGCACATGCTAAGCAAGTACTCTACCACTAAGCTACATCCCCTACTTTTGTTTTAATTCAGAGAATTTTTTAATTCTCACTAAATGCTGAGGGTTTCAATAAATTGCTCGGGCTAGCCTCAAATTTTCACTCATCCTGCCTCGGCCTCCTGAGTCACAGGGATTATAGTTGTGAACCATCAGGCCCAGTTTGAACAATATACTTGTGTGTGTGTGTGTGTGTGTGTGTGTGTGTGTGTGTGTGTGTGCGTGCACGCTGGGGATTGAACTTGGGGGCACTCAACCTCTGAGCCACATCCTCAGCCCTATTTTGTATTTTATTACGAGAGAGGGTCTCACTGAGTTGCTTATTAGCACCTTACTATTGCTGAGGCTGGCTTTGAACTCAAGATCCTCCTGTCTCAGCCTCCCCAATCACTGGTATTACAGGCATGCACCAGAGCTCATGGCTTGAACAATATACTCTTGTAACTCATTAAATTATCTTAATTTTTTACCCACTTTTGACTTGTGTTACTGCCCACTCATGAATTATGTTTGAGGAGTTGAGATAAAGAAAACAACAGGTAGGCCTAGCAGAATTATAGAACTTGGCCTAAATTATAGAATTTCAGTTAGGAAAACTGAAAGTATGTTCATGTGGTGGCGCAGACTTGTAATCCTAGCTACTCAGGAAGAAGCTGAGGAAAAAGGATGGTGAATTCCAGGCCATCCTGGGCAAATTTAGTAAGACCCTGTCTCAAGTCAAAAAACAAAAAGGGCTTGTGATGTAGCTCAGTGTTTCAGTCTTCAGTGCTGATGGAAAATGAGGGAATATTTATATGTATGTGGTTGTTTCTCTTTACCTAAAGTATTGGTAAATTAATCTCTCTCAATCTCTATTTTTCGTATATTTTTCTAGGAAAAACAAATATCCCAGCATCTTGCGATGTTCTAATATTTAGATACTTCTACAATACAGTTGAGGCTATCCTGAAGTTTGGCTTTAGTACAAATGAGGTGAAGTGTTAACCTGGCATTATTGCTGCCTCCATTGGGTCTGTTATCCTCATTTTACCCTCCCTGAAGCTTTGAAAGACTCACTGTTGCCAGTCATAGTGGCACATGCCTATAATCCCAGCAACTACTGATTCTACTGCCTCAGCCTCCAGATCACTGGGATTTCAGACACCACCGTAGCCAACTTCATTTTAATCTTTAAAGTGTGCTCCTTATACCTGGCAGAATAGCAAACACCTATTATCTCAGAGACTCAGGAGACGAAGGCAGGAGGATCACAAGTTCAAGACCAGCCTCTGTAATTTAACAAGACCCTGTCTCCAAACAAAAAGTAGAGCAAAAAGGGTTAGGGATGTAGCTCAGTAGTAAAGCATCCCTGGGTTCAATCCCTATCACCAAATACATAAATAAAAATAACAGCATACTCCTCAAATAATTCTTTATTTCCTAATTTTTAAAGTAATTTTAAGCCAGTTTCATAAGACAAAATACAGTTAATCTTAAAAAGAGGGCGTGTGTGGCAGGTTATAGGCACACACCTGTAACCCAAACTCAAGAGGCTGAGACAGGAGAATTGCAAGTTGGAGGCTAACCTGGGCAATTTAGCGAAACCCTGTATCAAATTTTAAAAAAAATTAAAAAAAAAAAGGACTGGGGATGTAGCTCAGTGGTAAAGCCACCCCTAGGTTCAATCCCCAGACCAAAAATAAATACATAAAATAATCAAAAGGAGTTAGGGGCATAACTTAGTCATAGAGCACAACTGGGTTCAATCCCTAGTACCATGGGAAAAAAATCCAATAATGATAAAATACAAAGGATTTAATATTTTTATTCATGGAAAACTTTTAATCTAGGCAAACAGGAATATATTTTATTTCTATCTCTTCTGCATTTTAGGAAATTGCCTTAAAGAAAAATTTACTGCATTACCAAGAATAACTTAAACTATTTCTTCAAATTTATATCATTTAGATAGTAGAATCAATTTAAATGCTTTAATGTAACAAAGGAATAAGTAACAGTTAAGGTAAATTGGTTTTATTAAATTTCATTACACAGCAACACCACATAAACAACTTAAGTTGCCCAGTAAATTCTTTATAAATTGAGTTTTTAAAAGATGAAAACTTCTAGTAGTTCATACCTGTAATCCCAGCAGCCCAGGAGGCTGAGGCAGGAGAATTGCAAGTTCAGAGCCAGCCTCAACAACTTAGAGAGGCACTGAGCAACTTAGCGTGACCATGTCTCAAAATAAAAATAAAATAAAAATGTGGTTCAGTGGTTAAGTGCCCCTAGGTTCAATTCCCCATACCAAAAAAAAAAATTAAATTAAAGCCTTAAAAGTAAGGAGTTATAAATTTTTTTTCAATATAAAGAATTTAAAAGTAAGGAGTTATAAAAAAATTTATTTTCAATATAAAGAATTCAATTTTCTAAAATCTATAAAGAGCCAGATGTGTATCAGTGTTGCATGTCCATAATCCCACAACTCAGGAGGCTGAGGCAATAGGATTGCAAGTTTGAGACCAGTCTCCGAAACTTATTAAGACACTAATCGGCGGACTGGGTCCACAAGCAGGTGTGGGGGTAAAGGGTTTTGTCGCTTTCCGAAGTTTCTTCAAGCAATCAGTATGTCAACCAACACAGATTTTTTCTTTTTCTTCATATGATGAAGATCAGGGATCTAAATTTATCCAAAAAGCTAAAGAAGCACCATTTGTACCTATTGGAATGGCAGGTTTTGCAGCAATTGTTGCATATGGATTATACAAATTAAAGACCAGGGGAAATACTAAAATGTCCATTCACCTGATTCACATTCGTGTGGCAGCCCAAGGCTTTGTTGTAGGAGCGATGACTCTAGGTATGGGCTATTCCCTGTATAGGAATTCTAAACCTTAGAAGAAGAGATGCTGTCTTGGTCTTGTTGGAAGTACTTGTTTTTGTTATGTTAAAGTTATATGTTTATGTCAAAAAATAAATCCCTTGAGTGGGTTCAGGCTGTAACACAGTATTTTGAATAATGGCTTTTTTTCTTGCCCACTTGATTTGCCTGGTTATCAAATTATTAATGACTTCACTGACTCGGTCATTCAGGGAAGTCAAGTTAACATTCACCTTCTTAAGTGCTTATACAGAAATTACTTCTAAAGACAAAAGGCCAGTCCTGAAATATTCCCAATTTACTACTGAATATCATACACATACTTTGAATGTTGGGTAGGAATCCTATTTAACCCAGTTAATTTAACTTTTTTCTACCTGCCTTGTGATCTGGTTTAAGAACTTCAGTTTTTTAGTATTAGTTGGCTCTTAAAGAACTATTTCATATTTCACAAAAGTGCATGAAATGTAACTTATAAATCTTCCCACAACTGAGAGAGAGAGAGGAAGGGAGGGAGAGTTTGTGTGTGTTTAAGCCATACCTGGAAAGCTCATAACAGAACTGCATAAAAGTAGTGTTTATTTCAGAATCACACTATAAACATAATAATTTAATTATTGATTCCACTTTAGCTCTTTTATAATTGCAGAATTATATTTTTGCTGTTGTATTAGAATAATTTTTAAATGTTATCTTGAAAGAGAAATATTTATTTTAAGTGCTAATACAAAGGTAAATTAAGAACACGGTCTTAATGTGTGCAGTATATTTATTTTCTCTGTATGAATTGCAAGTGTTAAACAAATTACCTAAAATGGAAGTGATTGCTGGTTTTGAGCAAGCTGGTCTGGTCAGACATTAAATATACAAGCTTTGGTAAACTACAGCATGCTTTAGTATACTTGTAAAATTCCCTTGTCTAACCTGAACTTACATTTCATGGTGATAACATGGTATATGTGTTGTTATTAAAATAACGAACACATCAAATGTCTTGTATCTGTTTGTTTGGAAAAATAAATCATTCTTCAGAGTAGCACAAAAATTAGGTTCCAAGAAAAAACAATGGTTTATGCTTTTTTTAACTACCATTAAAGAATACCTATGAAGTGGAAATAATAAATAATATATATTGAGTAAAAAAAAAAAAAAAGACACTAAGCAAATTAACGAGACCTTGCCTCAAAATAAAAAGGGCTGAGGATGTTGTTCAGTGGTAAAGCCCCCCTAGGTTCAATCCTAGTAGCAAAACAAATTTTAAAATAAAATCTAGAAAGGTTTTAAGTATAGTAATAACACCATAATAGCACATTCTCCCCATTAAAGTAATTTACACTCTTTGATTTTAGGAACTGGAACGAGCATGGAGAGAATATGATAAGTTGGAATATGATGTAACTATTACCAGGAACCAGATGCAAGAGCAGCTAGATCGCCTTGGTGAAGTTCAGGTACGAAAGTGTTAATATCTTAACTGGTTTTGACTGATATTATACATCTGCCTCACTACATACCCATGTACTCTTAACAGTTTTTACATTTTGGCTACCTAAAATGTGGATTTGAAGATGGGCTAAGTGACACATGCCTATATTTTCAGCAACTCAAGAAGCTGAGGCAGAAGAACTGCAAGTTTGAGGTCAGCCTTAGCAACTTATCAAGACTGTCTCAAAAGATAAAAAGGCCTGGGGATGTAGCTCTGTGGTAAAACACCCCTGTGTTCAATCCCTAATTCTGTAAAAAAAAAAAAAAAAAAAAAATGTTTATTTGAATACGTTCACTGATAGGAATTTTATTCCCAATTTTATTCCCCCTTGTTCACAATTTTAATGCTTTATTCTAGCTTGGCTCATAGGTGCATGCCTGTAATCCCAGCAATTCAGGAAGCTGAGGCAGGAGTTTCAAAGTTAAACCAATATCCACAACTTAGTTCAAGAGCAGCCTACGAAATTCAGCAAGACTCTTCTTCAAAAAACTAAATCACAGTGGGTCAGGAGGCCAAGACAGGAGGATCGCAGGTTCAAAGCCAGCTTTTGCAACTTAGCAAAAACCTATCTCAAATTTTAAAAATATAAAAAAGATTGTGTGGCTCAGTAGTTAAGTGCCCCTGGGTTCAATCCCTAGTACAAATAAAGAAAAATGGAGGGAGAGCGGAATAGTGATAGTCCATCCGTATCACTTGGTATTGAGTTGTGAATTTATGAAATAATGTTTATAATTTAAAATAATATAACCCATTTTGTATTAAATTTATTTTTTACTAAACTATATTTAGTCTACTATCTTAATTGACCTATTAGAATGGGGAACATACAGCATCATTTGGTGGTACAAAGATCCCGTTTGTAAAGAGGCAGATCTGAAGTCAAGTTCCAGGGGTTAGTTTTCTTATCTGTAAAATAGAAATTAGAAGATCTGTCTTAAAGTGTTGCTCTGAGGGGAGATAATACATTTTATAAAAATGATGCCACTATTTGGTTATGACCCTATTAAATATGATTATCTGCATTGGAAACCCAGTCACTGGACTTACCAGAGAAATCAATGCAACAGATAAAAGATTAGTAAGGGCCAGACAGGAGGATCATAAATTCCTGGTCAACCTCTGCAACCTAGCGAGACTCTGTCTCAAAATTAAAAAAAATAAAAGGACTGAGGATGTAGTTCAGGATAAAGCAGCACTGTGTTCAATCCTTAGTACCAAATATATACATATATATATAAGCCACAAGTAGTTATGATATTCTTTGAAAAAAAAATCTGGAAGACACATTCTGTGCATGGTAGACCAATGGAACCAGGATAGAACTTAGCAAGCATGAATATGTGACCCTGTCTCAAAATAAAAAGGTCTGGAAATGTGGCTCAGGGGTTAAGCACCCCTGGGTTCAATCTTTGGTACCAAAAAATTCATAAATAAAGTTTAATATATAAAGTAGGCATAGTATAAGATTAACAGCAATAATATAATACAATAGAACAATTTGTAAAAATCAACAATTCATAAGTTTTAAATAATTTTATTATATAATTGTTATCATTGTTCTGTTTATTTAAAACTTATGAATTATTTATTTCTGGAATTTTCTATTTAATACTTTAGGATCTTGGTTGACTGTAGGCATTCAAAACTATGGAAGGCCAAATTAAGGATAAGAGAGGGCTGCTGTATGCTTTCTATTTCTTTTGTTCTTCCCCTCAGAAGTTGGTTTTTGTTTTAACTTGGGATTAGTGAGTTTCTATTGTCTCTTTCTTCCTGTATTTTTTCCATTGTTAGTCCCTTCTAACCAGTATGCCTTCCTGGGATGATGCTAGGCAAAGCTATTAGAAAGATGCAGAATGTTACACTTAAGTCTGAAAAAATAAAATATTTTCTTTCTCTGCTTTAACTTTCATCTTTTCCACTAGGGTTGCAAAATTACAAGCATCACGTAGGTCATATTAAATATTCTTTCAATTAATCCATTGTAATTCTCATTTTAAAATATATAATTAGTGTAATTATAACTGACTTTTTTTCTTGCATGTGGTCTACCATTTTTACTGATAGACTGAATCAGCAGGAATTCAACGTGCACAGATTCAGAAAGAACTTTGGAGAATCCAAGATGTCATGGAAGGGCTAAGTAAACACAAACAGCAAAGAGGCACTCCAGAAACAGGTAAATTAGCTTTGCTTTTATTTTGTCATAAAATGGAATAGTGCACATTGTTGAGTTTCTTTTTTCTTTCTTTTTTGTTTTGTTTTGTTTTGTTTTGATTGTTGATTGGTTGGTAACAGGGATTGAAACCAGGAGTGCTTTACCCCTAGGCCACATCCCTAGCCCTTTTATTTCTTCTTTTGAGACAGGTTCTCATTAGGTTTCCCTGGTTCTCCTACAACTTGAATTCTCCTATCTCAGCCTCCAGGGATGCTGTACCACCCACCTGTCTTTTGTTGTTTTAGTGTAGGTTTTACATCAGAAAACAAACTCTCTTATAACAATGAATTAGTACCTAAGTTTATAAAGTAAAATCAAAAGCTCTGCCAGCCCTACCTACACACACACACACACACACACACACAAACATTGTTTATAAATTGTAAATGTTTAATTTGTAATGAAACATTTAAAAAAAACATTTAATTTAAAACAAAAATGTAAAAAAGAAATTTAATTTAAAACAAAAATCATTGTTTATAATTATAAACATACACAGTATTTTGGCGTTAGGAGTTGTTTTTGTCTTCAGCTTTTCTTCTGAATTTTATTAGAGGAAAAAAGGTGGAGGGGGTTGTGTTATACCTATTTTTCCACAATGCTTTTTTCCTTTTTCATGATACATAAACTGCCTAAGTATTCATTATATAACTGAACTAAGCCAGGGGTGGTGGCAATGCCTGTAATGCCAACAGCTTGGGTGGTTGAGGCAGGAGGATTGTGAGGGCAAATCCGGTCTCAGCAACTTAGCAAGGCCCTAAGTAACTCAGTGAGACCCTGTCCCTAAATAAAATACAAAAAGGGCTGGGGATGTGGTTCAGTGGTTAAGCACCCCTGGATTCACTCCCCGATACCAAAAAAAGAGAAAAAGAACTCTAGTTTATTTATCCATTACTATATTGATGGACATATACTTTGTTTCTAGTAACAACAGAATACACTTGCTAGTACTTAGTGAATTCCAAGAAATGAGAAATAAGCACCTATCTTCCATTTTGAATGGATATATCCAGATTGCTCTTCTAAAAGATATCAAATTATGCTTGCACCAATAATATTTGAGGAAACCCATTTCTTCATGCTCTTGTCTAAATCAAATATTTTAATGTTTTTTAAAAATGTAATTGACCTCAAATTCTGAATATATTAATAGAGAGACTCAACTGAAGTCTGCATTTAAAATAAGTGAAATGAAATTATTCTTATAGATTTAGGAAAATGTGTTTAGTGCAAGTAGTTATGTTTTCTAATTTTTTCTAATAGGTATGGCAGGATCAAAACCTTTCTCTACAGTTAAGTACAAAAGTGAGGTAAGCTGGGATTTTTTTTTCCTAACTATACATTATTTTAAATGTTGAACACATGAATTATAAGTAATTATGTTTTCTCTTTTCTAACCATAACAAAGATGTTTTTTTAAAATATATCAAAGTTATTTGAATCTTGAAATTTGCTTCAGTAATTTGGTGCTTCTAACATTTTGCTTCCTGATATGTAAAAAAAAAAAAGTAGTGCTTTTCATTCATGTTAGATCTTTAACATTGTCATTCTTTTTCTAAGTAATTTGAATATTTATCATGGTTTCTTATAGTTTGTAAAATTTGTAGGATGATTCATAAGTTTACTTGGTCTTATGCATGGCATTAAGAAAATAGCACTACAAAGAGATACTGTCAACCTAAGTGAAACAATCTATGGTTTTTGAATTTTGTGTGATGTCAAAAAGAAATGTTTCTTTTTCTCTCATAAAAATTGCAAAAATATTAATAAGATTTTTTAAACTAATTATTTCTTCTCCTTTTTAAACGAAATGGAGTAGTTTCACTCAGTAATCTGTTTCATTGTTGAGTTTTAGTGTAAAACTACTTATATGTTATGGGAAAATAAAAACAAAAACACTTAAAACCCAATTATTAGCTATCATTAAAATCTTGGCTTTCACTTTTCACTTTGAGATTTTGGCTTGGCAGTATCCCTTTAAATATCTTAAAGTAAATTTAGGTTAATATACCATTGCAAAGAATTTAGATATGCTTAATTTAATCTGCTTGTCTAAATAAGGTGACTATTCTACAATCTTTAGGAAGAGGAAGTAGTCCCACCTCGTCCTCCACTTCCTCGGTCCTATGACTTTACAGAGCAGCCTCCCATAATCCCCCCTCTGCCCAGTGATAGCAGCTCCTTGCTCTGTTATAGCAGGGGCCCAGTGCATCTTCCTGAAGAAAAGAAGATTCATCAAGTTCAAGGATATCCAAGAAATGGATCTCACTGTGTAAGTGGCTGGAATAGCCACAGAATAATCAATCAATCATACATGCCCTCTCATTTTTGAAAATTATTTTATATTCAAAGTATAGTTTTATAATACCAATTTTAGCTGGAGCTTTTGTTTTATATATAGTTTTATCATTTGTGTTTTTCCTATTTTGATTTTATCATTCTCACTTTTTAATATTTTCATAATCTTAATGTTTCATAATTTCATAATGTCTTTTCATAAAATGGTTACTTTGTACATGTTGAAAGAACTATACCTTTTGAATTTCTATTTTAGGATGTTAGAGGCATATCATGGTTTTTGTTGAGATGGAATCTAAGTTGCCCAGACTAGCCTGGAACTTGAAATCCTCCTACCTCAGCCTTCTCAGTAGCAGGAATCTTTAGGTCAAAAAGAATGGAGAATGAAAAAGGTTTATACTAGAAGTGGCACAAGAGTTAAGACTTAGGAAGCTTGGTATAGGAAAACCCTTCAAAGATATGCACATTGCCAAGGAAAGATATTACCCCTGGGACATGGAAATAAGAGGTTTGGAATTATGCAAATAAATGTGAAATGTAATTGTCAAGGAAAAGAAAATAAGAAAAACAATTGAGCCAGACACAGTGGTGCAAACCTGTGATTCCAGAGGCTAAGATAGATGAATCACAAGTTTGAGACTAGGCTGGACAACTTGGTGAAACCCTGTCTCAAAATCAAAAATATAAAGCACTGGGGATGCAGCTTAGTGGTAAAGCACCGCTGGGTTGAATCCCCAATACTGCAAAGAAAATTTTAAAAAGGAATAAGCTAATTGTGAGAAAAAATAAACTGTTTCCTGAGAGAAATTCACTGCTGGGATGTATCTCACTTAATCAGATCACCTTTTAAATGAAAATTGTATTACTGAGTGATAAGATTATTTTTAGACCTAAGATATACCATAATAAGAATGTGATTTTGCAGCAAAGGATGGCTTAGTGGTAGATCCTGTATGTTAGGCCCTTAGGTTCAATCCATCCCCAGCACCAAAAACAAAAAGTGACTTTGTCCCTAACAGAAATATTCTTAATTTTAAAACAATAACTTTTACTAATTAAAAAATCTTTCAAATTACTTTTTTCTACTTAGTTGTTCTTTATGTATTAGTTCTGTTATATCCAGGATAGCCAACTGGGACTTGTAGTTTTTAAGAGTTTGATTTGAGTCTTTTTAATGGTAAAAATTTTTAAATGAATTTATAGCCAGATGTTAGTGGCACAGGACTGTAATTCCAGTGATGTAGGAGGCTCACAAATTTCTAGGCCAATCTTGGCAATTTTAATGATACTCTTCTCACAAAGTAAAAAGGACTAAGGGTATAGTTCATATGCCCTTGAGCTCAGTCCCAAGAATCACAAGAAAGAAAGAAACTTGTTGCTTTTTTTTTTTTTTTAATTATTATTTGTCTTCTTTTCAAGGGTCCAGACTATAGACTCTACAAGAGTGAACCAGAGTTAACAACAGTGGCAGAGGTTGATGAATCTAATGGAGAAGAAAAATCAGAACCTGTTTCAGAGATGGAAACTCCGGTTATTAAAGGTCAGATATGTTTTATCTCCATTTTTTGTTTTGTTTTCAGATACCTTAGTATTACATTCAGTTTACATGTTGACCCAGTAACCATACAGATTCACAGTCCTTTATCTGAAACTTTTGGAGTCTCATGAATTTCTGATTTGGGAAATTTTCAGATATTAGGAAGATAACATTGACGAAAAACCATACGTCATCTTAAATAGGCATGAGGCAGCACCCTTTTTTAAACTCATTGATGTGTCTGGAATAGTCATCTTAAGTGGAATATAGACTAAAAAGTATCAGATCAGGTTAGGTTTTACTGAAAAATAAGTTGATGCCAAACTTTTTAAAAGCTTTGCATTTACTGAGTTATTTTTTCCAATTTCAAATTATTCTTGAGCACAATGGCTAAAACAAATTTTCACACACTTGTTTAAAAATAAATTTCAAAATAATACTTTTTCTTAACTATACAAACTCTTCTGGTGGTAATGTTTAATGCTGTTCATTCTTCAAGAAGTCAGTGTCGTAAAGAAAAGGATAGCCAAGAGGATTCTTCTAGATTAAAAAGATTTTAAAAGAAAAAACTCAGGCTGGAGATATAGCTCAGTGCTAGAGAGTTTTCCTAGCATGTGGGAACACATAGGTTCAATCCCTTCAAAAACAAAGATTATGGGCTGGGGATGTGGCTCAAGCGGTAGCACGCTCGCCTGGCATGCGTGCAGCCCGGGTTCGATCCTCAGCACCACATACAAAGATGTTGTGTCCACCGAGAACTAAAAAATAAATATTAAAAAAATTCTCTCT